GTTGGTATTTCTTGTTAGGGTTGGAAGCCATTTTATAAGATTTCTAAAAGTTCATATACCACATTAATCTCTGTGGGCAAAAAGAAATGTTCTAAAAAATGAGACATCCAAACATTTACTTAACCAACATTACAAGTAGAGGGCACAAAATAACCTAAATTTCATTGTTTATTTACTGTATTTTAGGATGTTTTTTCCAGTACTAATTTTATAATTTCTTTCATTCTATGTGGATTGTGCTTCAGTCACTGAATTATATGTGAAGTTAAATATAAAATGCACAGTACTCACAATTTGCAACAATTTTAAAATATGGTGCTTACTTCAGAAATTTTACATAGACAAATATTTCTTCCTATAATTTAAATCTCTCTCAAAATTTCTGAGAAATATAACTTGAAGAAATTAGCCTATACATAACACAAATAATTCAAATTGCAAAAGGAAAAACATCAGATCTTCCTCAAATGAAAACAAACAAAAAATGACAAAAAAAAACCAAAAACCCCAAGGAACTAGAACAGAACTGTTCCAAGCTTTCTGAATCCCATCAGAAAGTGGAAGAAGTTACCTAATTTGTCCTAATTTTTATAAACTACAAAATTAATTTGAAGAACAGCACCCTTAAGTCCCCATATTAAAGATTCTTGAAGTCAATCAGCATTCCTTAACTGCTAATATCTAGATCATTACGACTCCTAAGAAAGTTTATAAACCTTATTCACATATGTAGAGAGTATGCAATTAGTCTTTATCATGGAAATATTACCACTGCAGACATAGGGAGATTATTAAAATGGACACCTATATACTGAATGATTATTTCTAAATATGTTACTGTCTGTTTTATAACATATTTTTAGTAGTGAGATAATACCTGTTGTGAAATAGATTCACAACAATCTTTTAATTCAATAGATTTATCCATGCTTTTTTATTTCTGGGAGCAGCCACCCAAAAGTTTGGCTGTGCAACAGCCACAAAGTCAGGCATCAGTACTGAAACTGAGAACTCATTTACCCATTGACTACAGCAGCTAAGTTCTGAAGATCAGAACGGAAAGGAAGACAATTACCTTACCATGGAAGAATATTTGCAGTAATGAGGAACAGCAAGATTTATTTTCCATGAGGGAACTAATGCCTAAACAAAGGACAAAGAATAATCTAGTATTCCATTCATTCATCTCAAGCCCTAACTCTGTTTGTTCCAGACCTTCAAGTCCTAGGGAGTTTGACTGAATAATGAGAGAACTTAACTTACCTCTCTTTCATCTAAGCCTGCACGAACAATGTACATTATCTCAGAAAAATTATAATCTGAATGAACATAAAAAAATCCACAGTTATTGTAATTTTACCTGCCGAATGGACAGGAAGGTTTCCTTTCTTCAATAAATATAAGAGCAGGTCTATTTCAAAAATCATGATCTGCCCTTAAAAAATAAATATTAAATATGGGAGTCACACTGTATTAAAAATCTCTTTGTTGCTGCAATTAAAAAGCACGTTACTTTTAGTGACTGACTGTCTGAATCAGAAGACCACTGCTCAAGGATGCGGCATTATTCCTTTCCTTCTCCTTTCACAATACTGATAAAATGAAATAGTGCTGCAAGATTATTTTGATTAAAATGTTTCATACATCCAATATACTCAGCATCAATTCTTATTTTTCAGGTAATGACCAATGGATGATACCATAATTCATAATCCCTCTGTCCTGAGATCCAAAGTATTAATTTCTTTCAATTATAATGTTAAGGGCTGTTCATAATCTTGTAGGTTCTGACCCCACAAAGTGCAAAGCAAAAACCGACACAAATAACATTTTAAAACAGAAAATACACTGAAAATCAACTTACATAGTTTATAATAGATGTACACAAATATATGACCCAAATATACAACAAAGAAGCTATGAACAGAAACAATTTTTCAAAATACTAATTTCAAAAAACTTAATTATTGAAAAACATTATAGAAGATGAAGAATAGCTTGAAGAAAACAACCGCTCAGCAAGAAAGTTCTAGATTTCTACAAAATTATCCCAGCAGTAGAAACTTACAAAATAAAAGCAAAACTTTCACAGAATGGAGTAGATCAGGCAAGAAACTTGGAAGAGGACAACAATTTACTGAATCCCAGAAGTGAAACAAGTTATCTTGCATTGGTTTTTAGAGTCTGGATGCTGCAAAAACTGCTGTCCTGGATATAGGTCTAAGCTATCAATCCATGGGATACAAAACACAGCCCAACACTCAATAGAAAACAATCCAACACTCAAGACATCTCACACTACTTCACCACTATATGGTTGCTTCAAACATCAGTGCATTGTTTGGGCAACATCGTAATTACATTGAAAAGGGACAAAGTAGGACATTTTTCTACACACTTCAAAAAGTAGAGACATGATAAAACCCTGAAGATTATTCAGATAACTAAGAAATTTGAGTGCTCATACATTTTCCTGGAGAAAGCCCCAACATGCAAAGCAATAAACATGGGCAAACTGGGAATAAGTGCTCCTTATACGGTGTAATGGATAATAAATTAAATTATTCATTAGATTTCAGAATTTACACGTCTTACAAAGCAAAAATACTGCTATCAGGTGAGGACTGCCTGGTTAGATACATTTTGACATCACACAAATACTCTAATATGTTTCAAAATATGTAATGAAGAAAGATGGTCTAAAATAGGACATTAGGCAAGTGGAATGTAAATATAAATTTACTTCATAAATATGAAATCAATCAACTGAGTTTGTGACAATAAAATTAACTGGTTTATAGTCATCAACAGTCAATATCACTTTTGAATCCAGGATTGTTACCCTGGGTACCTAGCACTGCAAAGGAATATTTAATTTCTTTAAAGTCATGTTAACATGATGTTTTTATAAACATCAAATGCATTTAATTTCATCATGTTATTTTTTCAAATATGGTTTAAATTATTATTATTTACTAAACAAGTACCTTCAATACAAGCATTCTTTACCATGTGAAAGCAAAGTACATTAAGCAATCTTCAACCAAATACAACTTTCCTGTACAGTTATGCACAAACCATTTGACAGAAAAACTGAGCTATGCTACTTTTGCCAGTTTCAAGGTTATGTCCACTCAAGGATGCATTTTTACAAGCCTCTTTCAGAATTCCCCCCTGCCTTCAACAAAGAGCAAACTGAGATATATTAACATATCTGGAAAAAAAATCCTAAAGAGAAATCACCAGTAATTAAAATTTACATAGTAAAGGTACAAAACTGCATTTATAAATAAATGTAAAAAAATAAAAATAGAAAACTTTCAAAGTTACTTTCAACCCAGAATAAAGTTTAATATCTTTTCTTTAAAATTAAAAATACAAAGAGTTACATCTCCTGCAGATTACAACCCCCTGATAATTATGCAGTTATTCATCAGAATAGACAAGACTTCTACTGGAACTCTGCACTGGAGTTTCATAGATAGATTTGGCTATAAGAGCCTGTTTAGCCAAAGACTAAAATAAAAGCAATATATTGTTAATATTTGTGCCTTTAAAATATCATGCAGTAGAATTAATATTTCTGTATAGGAAAGAGATAGATATTTGGTTCCAGACAACTTGATAACATCTCTTTCAGCTATAGTTATAATTACCATGTATTAACTTCCAAAGCAGAAGTTGTCATGATCTAACATTAGCATTAATTTATGTCAAGCATCCATTTCTCCAAAGACAGCAAGGATCGAAAAGGAAGTATGATCTTAATTGCCATTAATCTGACCATTTTTAATTAAATTGATCAGTAATTTATTATCTTACACAGCGGCAGAAAGCCGCTATCATGCAGCTTTAAGAGACAGTATGTACTAGCCCCTATAATTTCTAATACTATCAAGGTTCAAAAATTGTATAAAAGTGCTGTGCCATATTTCTTTCAATTCTTATACTACATTCTATTTAAAACCTCCATGAAGCACTCAAAGCGCAATACAGCCTACATGCACTACTCTCCTCTGGAGTAGTCTCATATGCAACACAGGTACATGATCTCAATTTGCTGAAGATGTTTAGTAAAACCTAACATCCAATTTCAGCATTGGCTCAGGAAGCACTCTGCACTCAAGCCACATTCTTAGTCTATTCTGCAAGTTAATTTTTTTATATTGAAGAAAGAATAAACCTAAAGCTTTCAGGTTTAAATCTCAATTCAATGGAAAAAAATGAAGGAGGAAATGCTCAGTACCTGAACTGAAGACAAGAAATATCTTCAGTTGAAGTTTCAGAAAGCAGTCTACCAGCTTTATCCATAAATGTAAATATATATTTATTTTTATTTATAAATTTATTTAAACATTTTATTTGTTAAATTATTTATTATATATAATCTATATTTATTTTTAGAAACAATAAACAAGTTTTCCCATACATTGTATTGTTTTAGTGCCATGCACTGCAGTCACAACTATCATGTTATAAATTAGCATATAGTTGCAGGGCTACCAGAAGCAAAATCAGTTGAGCCATAACTGTAAAACATTCCTTAATACTTTGTGGATTATCTGCAACATACAAACAAACAGATCCTAGTTTATATAGCATATGCACAACCAAATGGAAATGTCTAGATGCTTTTTTCCATACACTGATAAATGCACAACCTCCCTCAATTCTCTCATTCAAGTAATCAAAAATACATTTCAAATATGAAGCTATATAAACATTTGGGTTTAGCCTGAAACGTGGATTAATAAGTCTGACTTATATTGGAAGAAAACGAAATAAAGTGAATAAAGTTACACTATATATTTACAGTGCAAGGAAGAACAAAAGAATGGACATTAAACTTTTAAATATGTGAGTGTCGAAAACTTTTCTCAAAGCTTTCCTTAGTGGATCATTTACCTAAATTCATAAATGAGTCAAACTTTTTAAACAATCAAAGCATATGGAAGCAATACAATTGTCCTCAAGTATTTCATTCTTTTCATTCAGCGTACCTTAACAAGTTTCAAGAGGTGGTAAAGGTCTTCAACCTCATCGTCCTGACACGTTGAATATACTCTTCCAGTATTTATGCTGGTACCCTTTATGAAACAACGATAGAGTGGCAAATCCATTGCATCAGCATATAGATCAATGGCATGGTGTCCTACTGTCTGATACATATAGCTGTCCAATTCATCAGTTTGCCCTGTCACAGTTAAGAAATAATCTCATTAGCTACGTAACTTCAATAGTTAAAGATAATTCATAATACTTCAAAGCAATGAAAAAATCTAAATTTTAATATTGTTTCATGCACAAACAGATATTTAGTGACATTAACTCTATAAACGTGGGGGAAAAAAAATGGTTTTCTCCACCCAACAGACAGGTCAAGAATATGCTGCCTATTTGGAAACTGTGGAGTCTGCTTCTCCTTTAGCATTCTTCCCTGCTTCATCCAAATATCCAAGACTGGTCCAATTCTTCTCTTATTCATAGGGTAATTCAAATAGGAGTACACCTCAGAGTCACAAACTCAGGTGCATTTCAGCATATTCAGTGCAAGAAATTTGGAATGCATTACAACACTGTAAATAAGCAATGACTTGTCATGATTTTCAAAACTTTCAGCGTTTCCATTATTTTCATGGCCATCGAGAGACAAAAGCAGATTACTTGAGCCAACGTGGAATAAAAGTAGATTGCTACAATGTTTTGACATTAACATTCAAAAAGAGAAAACATCTTTCAGTACCAAGTCCTTTCTACCTTCAGTCATTTTAATAATCACTTAGAATATGACCAAATCTTTGCTGCTATTTCTTTAATCAGGACAAAAAAAGGTAACTGCAATTTCTTACAAGCAGTTTGTAGCTAACAAATGAAGAAAAGAAGCAGCTAAAATGCAGCATCATAGATTACAAATACATCTCAAACTGTTTCTACATAAAATCATTCAAATAATTACTCAAATAAGTTGAAAATTTCACTGAAATTTCAATCTCATTTGTTTAAAGCTATCTGAGTTCACTATTTTAATGCTAATCTATCACCCTGGAACTTCTCTTAATTTACACATAAACACTTAAAGCAGCTCTGCTGTACATCTAGCACATCTTGAGAAGAGTCTGTAATATTGATCAAGGTAACTAATTGGTGATGTAATAATTAAATCATGTCACATTTAATGCCATACAACAGTCACAGAGATATGTATTTGCTCAAAATGGGCAAGTCCAAACACATAATCACAACTAACCAATCTAAACCAAAATAGATGATTTAAAAGAGAAGTCAGTATTTTCCAACATAAATAAAACATGACAAGGTCTTTAAACTGATATTCAGTTCAGAATACATAGTTTTTCTTATTAATTGAGACTCTCCAGGCAGCAGTGGTGCAGATAAAATAAAATGAATGGCATAGAATCTGCCATTGCCTGAAGCACCTCAATTAACTTTCCACAAAATATCCAACTACACACTTAAAGACACCATTTTATGATTTTAATGACAATATTCTACATTTCTGATGGGGATAAATTAGTTTAAAGACAACTTATTTCAATAAGATTATGGATGATTGTGTGCCAGCTATGAAGAAAATAAATTGTTCCTGTACTCCCAAGCATTGCTAGGTCTGTCCATGATTTATCTGTAATGTCAGCTCCCATTTTCTCTCACTTTCTCTGGATAGTTTCCTAAAATGTAGTTACCAGGTTAATTGTTGATAGACGTAATACTTTAACATATTTAATATACTCTCCTGCCAGCTGGATAACAACACATATCATTTTATGCTCTTGACAAACACAGAAGTAGCAGACACTCCCCTGCTCAGCTCACCCCTGACTCAGACTACCTGAGATTCTCCCATTATCTTCTGTAGAAATAAGTCTAGGCCTAGCCTGTGAGGAACTGATCAGAAAACTGGTCCAAGCTAAAAGGAAGGAAGAAGCGTATCAAGTAAACTGCAGTTCAGATCAGTTCTACAATTCAGTTCACAAATGCTGGGCTAGAATAATGGAGAAAGATACATTAAGTTAAAAACAAACAAGCAACTTCAAAACTGCTTACTTTGGCAAAATGGTTTATACTAGTTTAATGCATTTCTAGAAATACAGTATTCATTTTGTTTGATCATTTCCTCTTCCACCTTTTACTGTTTGTGCTACTTAACTCATACAACCTCTTCCCATACCACCAGAAATATTTGTGCTTTTTTTTCTAAATTGTTTAAGTCTTTCTTTTACCAACCTTCACGTGGTGTTTTTAGGTTTTTTTTTTTCTTCTCTTCAACGAAAAATAGATTAAACTGAATAGGTATCCATGTCGTTTTCTTCCTTCTACCTGAGATTTCTAGATTGCCCTTCAATATGTAAATATGGAAGGCAAAGCTGTCAGTCTACTATTTCTAATTAACAGAAATAAGCAAAAAATTCCTACGTGGTATTTCTACATACCTGTGGTTTCAGCAGGTCTTAAGTTGGCTAGAGCAACAATCTGATGCCCAGCAGCAACACACTGCATCATATTATAACAGCTGTCCTTCCCACCACTGTAAAACAGAAAATAGTGGCAAATAAGTGAAAACAGTGCAAATAACTCTAGCTCTCTCTGGGACTACTTTAGCCCTCCTGCCTCGCTCTCAACATTATCAGAGCAGGTTACAAAGTTTTTGAATAACAGGAGGTTGCAAAATGTTTGCAGGAACTGAAGGATGATTTCACCATAGCAAAGCTGAAACAATGTTTCCTATTTATACACAGTATATACTTATACACAGTAGCCACAAAACAGGTATCCAGTTCAAATCTTTATCTCATTTCTCATCAGAGAGCTTATATGAAGAACAGCCACTTCAACTGGAATCCCTTCAGAACATGAACTACCTTTTACTCCAGAGACCAATTATTCTGCACCCATTATTAAGTAACATGGAAACAAACAAACAAAACTCCCAGTATCCAGAGATACAACAAAACCCCAGAGAACAACCAGATTTAGCTGTCCTTTTAGATGAAAACTATGATGTTTGGAATAATATTCATACTTAATGGGATATGTTGTCCAAAGTTTCAGTACTTCAAATGTACTTCCCATTGTCAGAAGCTCCAATTGTTGTAAACAGTAGGTTCAGTTTGCTCTGCATGAAACATTCCATTTTTTACTACAGATAGTTGCAGATAAGAACAATTACAGCTGGTTAAATAAAAGCTGGAATAACAAGTGGAAAAACATTCCCCACTGAGGCCAAGAGACGGTACTGCAAACACATGGAACATGATTAGTTTTGACTTAAAACCTAATGAAACTTTTTTCGCTACCAGTGAGAAAAGAACCCTGCTCTCTCACTGTAACTGAATCTTTCTCACATGGATTTTAATCCCTGTCAAAAGAAACACCACAATCTAACAACAAAACTAAAACTGGTGCAGATACAAACACTTCAACATCCCAAGCTCAGATTCATACCCTTCAAACTACGACTGCAAACACCAGTCCAGGACAGGAGTCACAATACCTCTGTGAAACTGCTTCCTGCCTCATGGTCTCCGGGACCAGGACAGAAGAGCAGACAGTAGTTTGAAGAATTCCTTGCTTCAACTGGCCACCACCGTTTCTCTGCTGTTAGGAGAAAATCCTCCAGCACCTCTAGCAGGAAGCTCCCACTTTTATCTCTCTTATGCAAGAGCTTGAAAGTGTATTACAGTAATACAATCATACAGCTGCTGCCCTCAATTTAGGCTTCTATCCATGGTAAAAATCTGCATACTGACCCTAACTTTCTGTGTAACTCAAACCTCAAGAAGTTGTTGTATAAACAATATGGAATCCTTTTGTACTTTACAGACTATCATAAAGCAGGTGCTTATGTTTCAGTGTTATAAATATGATAAACAGATTTCTAATTTTAGGGTCCATCTGTACCTGACATTATTCTCATCCATTCCTACAACATTCTTCTAATCTATATATGGATAAAAGAGCATTAAAAGATGTGTTCATTAATTCTGAATACTGCGCTTGATAGCTTGAAAATGTAGTTAGCATTCACTTCATAAAGTGAAATTTCAGGCTTAACAGTCTCATAATAAGACAAAGGCTCTTTTATTTCTGAATGATTCCATTCTAAAAAGTAAAAGCCTACTACTGGCACTGATTTCTACTCCAAAATACAACTTAAGCCAAGTAATGACAGTTGATATTTGCTTTTGCCATTCACAGAGTTTCAATATTAACATTTCTAATTAAAATTAAGAAGGACGCCAGAATAAATCTATTAATCTTTTAATACAATTCATTTTAATATTTTATTAAAATGAATTGTATTAAATGTTATCATTTTAAGATGAGGCTACATTCAGATTTCCCACATTTAATAAAGATCTGTAGAGCGCGTTGCTGTATCACATGGTATTACACTGCTATTTATTTTCTGTATTGCAGTTATCGTGGCCCTAAAAAATAACTGTGCCAAAGAAACAGAAGGAAATGTTGCCTACATAAAATGCCTTCTAATCTAGCAGTAAAACACAAGACAGCTAGGTCCATTGAGGCCAGACAGCCTATACTGGAAGAGGAAGGTGGACTCAACACAGTTCCAACCCAGCTGAACTTGTGACCACAAACAAAAAAACCTCCAAGAGAGATTAAAGCACATACTTTTTGAGGAACACTGAATGATGCTGGCCGCACCCAGGCTTAGGTATGACAGTGCTCCAGATCCATTAAGGGGTAGGACTATAAACTAATAAAATACCAGAAGAAAAAATAAGGTAATCATAAAAGCACAGATCCATAAAAGACTGCTAGGAAAAAAAAAAAAATTCTTACTATCAACAAATGTAACAATTTACACTGAGAAAATTCCACAAGAATTAAAGAATTGAAAAAAAAAAATATCATATTTCAGTTAGAAGACTGGCTTTAAAATGTCTATGATTTAGCACAAAACACAATACAGGGCTTAGCCCACAAATATCACCTTAATGCAAGACTATCAACTTTAAGTGTGGCCAACATTTTAGAAGAAAAAGAAACAGCCTAAAGTAGTTTTATACATAAACCTGACCTTTTCAAAAGTAAGAAGCACTTTTCAAATACTTTTTCTCCCTCTGATCTTCGAGGCTAGCTCTGTTACAAAGATTTCAGACACTTTGATGTCTCTTTAAAATTCTTCTTAAAACTATTACTGAAACTAAATCTATCCTTGTAAATTGCCCATAAAAATAGCAATTGTGTTACAAACCTGTTTTAGGATTTTATTTCATCCTGCCATTTAACACATTCCTCTCTTTAGAGAATATCAAAATAAATAAACCGGGGAGACAGAAACTTATCTCTAAAACACAAAAAAGCACTGAAGTTGATTCTCACTGTCATTATTTAAGCAGATCTTGAGAAGCACAGATACCATTTGGTGTTCCATTTTTTCCTCTTTGGGTAGCATTTCAATGATTTGTAATTGTTGTGGCCAAATAACAATTTCAGAGGGGTCTGACATCAGACATTGCCTGAGAGAATTTAACACATTAAATATTAGGACTTTGGTAAAGTTAATGCACCCAAAAATAAAAACACACTGTTTATATCCTACGTAAGCAGTTCCCATGTACAGGTTCCTCAGCTTGCTGTCTTCTAATTCTTATTTTTCAAGAAAATAATTAGACTGCTAGAAAAGCAAAGTAACATTCATTTCTTTTTGAAACTATATATATATTAAAAAAAAAAAAAAAAAAAAAAGTATTATTTACGGTACAACAACCGTGGAAACAGACAAAAAGCAGCAGGACTACACGAGAAGCAAATAAAACACCTCATAGATGGGGCTGAGCCAAACTATATCTTTAATGGGGAGCTCCCGTCTTTTTTTAAACAAGCAAAATGAAATGCTTCTCAGAAGACACACTAGGAAGTCTACCGTGAGAGATCATAAAGTATTTGGACGGGAAACAAAAAATAACCTTGAAAATTGAACTAAAAGTGAGCAGAACTGCCCTAACTGAACGGTCTTGGCAAAGGCCCCACTCACAAAACAGGAGCTGACCGAGATAAGGGGCGGGCAGCAATCAGCGGAAGGGTCTTGCGCTATATTTTTATTTTCTTTTCTTTTACAGACCGGTAATGCTCGCAGTTCCCGACAGCACGGCATTAGCAGCGCCGCAGCCTTGGCCAGCACGTGGTTGGGAGGGGGGAGGAATGGCTCCGCTCACCCTGCCCTGCCGGACCCTCCCATCCGCCGGGCAGGAGCGCGGGGCGGCTCGGGGGAACGCTCGGGCGGTGCTGGTGGCACCGAGCCCCGCAGTCTCTCCCCCGCTGCGCCCTGCTCTGCCGCCAGCACCTCGCTGGCCGTTACCTGATCAGAGCCACTACTCGCATGCTGCACACTGCCCCGGGGCGGTAACACTGAACAGGAGACGTGCGATGAGCGCGCAGCCCAAGATCCCCGCCACCCCGAGCCGCGCACGCCTCCGCTACCGCCCGGCAGCGTCCCCGCGGCAGGCCCTCCTCCCAGGGCAGCCCGGCCGACTGCCTGAGCGAGAGGGAGGTGTTCCGGGCAGCCGCCAGGCCCTGCCCGGGAGGACGACTTCTCCCGCGTCCGGGAGAGAGCGCTGGGGACGCGGCTGCCGGGGCCGGCCCGGCGGGGAGCTCGACAGGGGGAGGCGCCGGGGAAGGCAGCGCGCGGGGCGCCTACGTGCGGGCGGGCCGCCTACCGATGCTAGGCCCGGGCGGGGCACTTTTCCGTGCGCGGCGGACGCAACTGCCAGGTCAACGCAGCTCTTCTGCTTCGTTACGGTGCGGTGGGAGGAAATTCTGCGGGACTTCAGAGCTCGTCGCCCCGACTCACGGCGGGGCCGGGTAGAGCTGCGTGCTCCCTCAGTCCCTCTTGGGGAGACCCTTTCCTGTCACCGCGGTGCCGTGAGGATCTGTGCGGCAGGAGGAGCGCTGCCTGTTGCAGGCGCACGTGGGAAAAGTCCACCTGCAGCGCTGAGCTCAGCTTCCGCCGGCCACAAACCTCGTGTAATCCTCCTTGCGGGTCAGTTTTGCTGACAACCAGACCCTTATGCACACAGTATACACCACTGTAGGTCTCCAATATGGCATTAAGGTCTAGCCTCTGACTACAGATTCAGTTTTCTCTCTCCCAAGCCAAAGACAAAGCCTGGTGAAATAGCAACTACCCTAAGTCTTACACCATCACACAACAGCATTGCTAGGGGTACCACGGCTAGGTATTGTGTAGTGCTGTAGCCCTCCACACCCCAGGCTTGTGCACTCAGAACGGGGCTGGAGATCCCTCTGTAGCTGTTTGTCGCTTGTCCTGGAGGAGGTCGCTACAAAAAATCATCAGGCACATGTAGTACCTTGGAGTCAGACCCTGGTTTGCTGGGTCCAGTAATCCCCTATGAGCCAGCAGTTATGACTGCATACAGACCGCGCGTTACCCCAGCCAGGAGCTCTAACACCTGGTTCCATGTGAATTGAATTCCATAACCAGCGCAGCTAACATAAAAGGCTTTGTTCCTCAGAGCTCTTGACAAGGGTATGCTTTATACATGAGATCTTCCCAGCCCTATGTAATGTGATATTATGCACTTTATAACAACCTGTACCATTAGGGCCCAGTGCAAGGCTCTGAGAAACAATTTGCCTGCTCAAACTTTGTTTTATTTGAAGTTTCCAGGAAGAAAAGAGATGAATGAAAATAGAGAAGAAAATTCCTTTTTAAAAGAGCACTTCATTTTTAGTGAAATTATAGTGATAAATGCACAAAAAAAAAAAAAAAAAAAAAAAAAAAAGAAGATCTGTAATACCTGGTGAGACAAATACAGTAATTAAGAATTTTTTAACAGTCACAAACCAGTCTGCAATAGCTGTTTCTGGGAAGTTTATTGTTTTTGGTTTTTTTCTTCCTGTATGATTTGACTGTACTTGATTTGTACAATAAGTTCCTGTAACATGTAAAATAAGAATGGTTAATTTCAGGCAGATATAAAGGCAATAAAATAAATACACTTCTGAAAAAGTTAAGATGCAAAAAAATTCTATAAGTTGTTGTGCAGGTGTGGTAACAACAACATAGATTTTTCCATACAGGAATAATTACGAAAAATTGTGTTTTATAAAATTTTTCCTAAGCTCATGATTTGAGCATGACAAGCCATCAGTTGCAAGACAAAATATTGGACTTCCTTGGGAATTAGAAGACAGTTTGATTTTCTTGTAGTTTTGTGATGGTGTCAATGCATACTTCTTAGAAAGCCATTTTTGCCTTTTATAACTCATCAAATGATCAGAACCAAGGTTACTTAAACCTGAAATTCTGATGAAAGGACAGGGGCCAAGTTAATGGCTTTTTTTTTTTTTTTTGTGCTCAGAAAGGTAATGGAGGCCTGTTCTGAATTAAAGCTGCAAAAATCCAGGGGACTCTGAGATTATAGGCAAGATTAAAAAATTGAATCAAGCAACATTGTGCAATAGATGTTCTGGTAGAAGGCTACTGCACCTTTGAGGAAATGTAAAAGGCGGCAGAGTAAAGGTATTTGATTTACTGGGAAAAAGCATGGGTGGATATTTTATCATACCTTACCTCCTGTCTTTTCTGTTAAAATATTTTTCTTTTTGTTATAAAAAAAAAAAAAAAAAGAATAATTCAGCTAGTATTTGTGAACTTCTAAAAGATGCTTATTTACTATACTTAAGAATAATACATGAGATGTAAAAAATACATACATTTTTCTACTTTAGAACATGCAGATGCTATAAAATCAATACTTTTAATCTCATAACTCTATAACAAATTCAAAGACTTGTAAAGATATTGACTCTTCTCAATGTCATTGTTAGAAGCTATGGAAAGATCCAAATAATTCAGAATAATTCTGAAGTCTCCTATTTTCTCATAAGTCCATTATTGTCTGACACAATGCTGTTTCTTCTTCAGCAGATGGTTCTGTTGCACTCAGTTTTACAGCTTTCAAAAAAACAAATTTCCACTTAAAAGTCAGACTTGTTTGAAGTAAAAGTTACATATGACGCTACAGGACCAAAGCCTGCTTCATTTGTTCTCAAAACTGGAATTTTTGCTTCCATTTTGTGAAGATATCACTAATTATTTGCACAGATAAAAGCATATTCAGCATGTGAGAAATGTCAATAGCAAATTAATAAAGTGAGACTGTGAAACAAATTACATTTTACCCAGGAGGGCTCTAGTTTCAAATAATTTGAAACATATTCAGTAGGTAAATCTTTTCAGTCTCATCCACCTGATGAAATAGCTCTGGTGCTTTTAAAATGTTTTGACATATGGCAGTGGACAAAAGACTTGGCATTATCTGTCACACTGGTTGCCCAAGACATTCTACTATACTGTTGCAGAAGCTGAAGCAAGAAAATTCACTAAAGCTTCTTTTCTTCTTGGAGAAGTATTGGCTAGTTTGTACAGAAAACCAGTGATGGCTCCGTGATTCTCTCTCACCATTTTCTGCCTAGAAAGTTGAAAATAATAATAATGAATTAATATTAGTGGAGGAACCTGACAAAGGATTAAAAATTGCAATGCAGTATCCCTAACGACCTGGAATAGTTAATTAAGTTCTCTTATAAATGAGATCCAAAAATAACTTACTTTCAGCAAGTTATTCTGAGAAACAGCCACTTTAGCATACCTGAGCTGTAGAGCCTATTAGAAAAGGGCCAATTACCCAGTGACTGGCAGTTAAAGGTGAACTGCTGTAGTTCTTAATTAAAAGGCTTCATATTATAATCACTAGTGAGTAACAGAATTCTATATATAAGGAAGACATAACATTAGAAGAATATTTCCATTTTAAAACAAAGATTTTGAAAAACCTCTTCCTTTGATTGCCAAGCTAAGCCCCTGTGAGAGCTCTGGGGTAGCCATCTGTACTATTTATCTTTTGTTGAGGTGCTCCCCTATGACCCACCTGCAGCCAGAAGGGTTTCCCTCCCATATTAGGTGGCAGCATTATCACTGCTGCTAATGCCTGAAGTTGTTACCACAGAAATATTATTTTAGATTTTAAAAGAGAATACATCTCTCTTTCTGGCTAAGGAACTGTCTGTGGAACTTTCTTCAGCTTCTTGCTTGTTACAATTGAAAAGATTAGCACAGTAGAAGGGCGATACAAAAATGCAACAACAAAGCAACCAGTGCAGATAGGATGGTATTTCACAGGAATATAAATGTGCTTACCCATCTCCAAATATCTAGGCTTGCAGAAGGGACCCATAAGTGAGGGATCTCCAACCAGACATCCTTCCAGAGTGGCAGTCAGCCATTAAATGGGGGTCTAAGAGAGGTGGAGCCAGATTCCACTCCTTCCAGTCACACAGGTTAATTGCCTTCACCTGTGTTCTCAGGGCCCACCAAGTCCTTTCCTCAGTTGCTCAATTAGTGGTTCAGGCTGTGACTTAGCAATTCCAATACACTACCAAAGACAACTTTCCTGAATTTCCACTTACTTCTCCGTAAACAGGATATTATCAACTCTTCTATGAGATGCAGTGAAGTTATTTTGGGTGTAAAAAACTTCTAGAGTGGAAGAATGTGCTGTACTAACGTACTATTAAGTGTGTATCTCCCCATCTGGGGACTCAGGGTCATTTTGTCTTCGTTTCAATTTCAGCAAATGTAAATTACTTTGCTGAATTGCTGCATTCTATGTAATCATGCTACTAAGGTATTATGCCTGAGATTATGCAGCCTACTGAGATTAGTTTGAACACTATATCATATTGTTCACCTCTTTTTAGGCAGAGACTTCAGGTCTCTCTCTCCAGCCATTCACTCAGATTTGGTCTTCACCATCTGCACATGAACACTGGCTTTTATCAGACCTACAGACTTCTTGCTGTTAAGTGCTTCATCTATATCAACGCTACTAAAAATATATACAACTAATCCTATAGTTCCTAATTTTGATAAGGATTGTCATTTTATAGGATAATTTGACCTATTTTTCTGAACTATGTAGTTCAGCAACTTTCCTTCATCATTTAGCATTCAAGGAGATTGGCAGACCTGTATTTATTACCCACTGTAACAGAGAGGGAATTTAGCCTAAGACAGTATTATTCACATTCTTTACTAATAAGTAAAGGTACATATATGATGACACTTTTTTCAAGCTTTTGATAAACTCCTACCTTTTTATTTATCAATCTACCAAACTACAGTGAGTCAAAACAAAAATTAACCTTTTGATGTCATGCTTCATGAAAATGACCATTCTGTTTCCATTTCCAGAAGAAACTAGCACAAGTTAAAATTTGTCTTCATCAGAAGCTGAGTAGTTTTTCCCCTTGAGTAGATCTGTTTTCAGTGTTCAAAATTTTTATTTTATTAGTTAAACTACTAACAGTAATTACCACCAAGGGAAACTGTCAAGTGAGACTGGCAAAATCCTCCATTTGCCTTTATTTTTTCTGTTCTTTGTAATCCGTGGGATTTTACTGTTTTTTTTTTCTCCTTGAAATGAAGTTCTTTAGTACTTTCAATGGGGAAAAAATATCTGATTACCTCTGCCTTTATGAAAAGCCAGTAGAA